CCGTGGTCGACAGTATCGAAAGCCGCTGAGGGATCGAGGAGAGCAAGGATGGTCGCACTTCCACCATCCCGCTCCCGCCAGAGGTCATCCATAAATGAAATAGAAAACAGGAACTTAAAAATGATAAAAGACAGATTGAACTCTGTTAAAAAGGAGTATACCTCTATAGTGACCATAGGGATGTCAGAAGGATCAGACACCTTCTTTTCCTCTTTCTGGGGCTCATACCAAGCTGGGAATTTTAATAAAATTCATCAGATGATCAGTGGAGGTCAAAGATATTGTATTTATTCAAGTTGTCAAGTTGCTTTGGATGGGTGGCCACAAGGAATGCCTCTCTATCTCCCTTTTTATAGATCTTTTAGTTTAAATAGTTAGCCAATCATTATCAATGGAATGGAATGTCTTAGCTTATTACAATAGTTCCTGCTCTATTGATGAGATAGCCTACTTGGCTTAACTACAGACATGGTGTTTTACCAGACTCTGCCTGTTCAGCTAGTTTAGCTAAGATAATTGGGGTGAAAAAGAGGGCAATGAGAGGCCCATGTAGCTTAGAATTATGAAGAGGTGATAGATAATACATGGGAATGAAATGGGAGGAAACTGTTACAATTCCCTGTGCAGCTGGAATTTGAGGGAGGCACCGTTCACTGATTGATTCTGCCTATTATTGAGCAAGATAATTAGAAACCAAAGATGTGTAGAAAAGAGATAAACTGAGATCAAGTTAGTTAAAAGTGCTTTGCAAGCAGATTCATATTAAATTTTACGGTGAGAATAGGAGAGCAGTCTGACATCTAACTTGGCTGTAATTAAGGACATAATAAATTATGGCTTTGTTTTTCTTTAAGTTTTGTTTCCTTGTAAGAAGCCACCCCAAGAGGGGATGTACTTTGTAACAACTGTATAAAAGAACACCCTGGGGGGTGGGTATGTGTGCTTGCTTTGGAATATTTTTTTCTTTGCACCCTTTATTTGTGCAAAGCTTGGTTCTATTTCTACTCTGTAGTGTGTGTCGATTGGCAAGTATGCTGGGTCACAAGCCTGTGTTCTGGGACAACACTATCAGCATGAACATCTTCCTTCTGTACAGTTCTTCCTTTCATATTCTGTTAAAACAGATGTTGCCTTATCTTTCCCTCAAACAGATGCCAAACTCCCTCATTTATAGTTAAACAGATGTCTCTTTAGCTAAAGCTAAAACAATGGGCATTTTATCTTTCCCATGCATGTGTTTTTCTATATATAAGATATATTTATTTATTTATATTCCAAATTTGTCACTGCCCATCTCACTACAGAGTGACTCTGGGTGGTTTACAGTAAAAAGAATAAATATTAGTTAAAATACAATAAATATGAATTAAAATACATTACAAAAAGACTTCCTATATAAATAATAAATGTTAGACTTGGGGAGTGTCTTAACAGCGCTAGCTGCCCTCAGGTATGTCTTATGTCTTCCTTCCTACATAGAATTTGCTACATAATATATTCATTTGTTTATACTGACAGGAACCAGCATTACTATCTTTCCTATACAATCTTTCCTTATTGTAAACATATAAGAAAAATATGCTAACAGGGATGTACAGGATTAAGATCACAGAAATAGGGGTCAGCAATAAACAAATATGTTAGAGTTATAGAATAGAAAGATATGAACATATAGTGAAATTGGTCTTCAAAGAATATAGTGTCGATAAAGAGCTTATAGAAAATAGTTAAAATAGAAAATAGGTTTATTATTAAGATTAATTTCTGTACTAGTTGAAGGCATTTATAATTTACAGTTCATTTTTGGAAGCTTTACTTTTCTAAAATAAGAAACTAAGAAAAAAAGATTGAGCTCAGTGGACGAGGAGCATAGTTCTCGAAAAGTCTGCCCTGGAATCTTGTTTACATTAAGTGCTGCATCTTTCAGGTGAAACCTAGGATTTGGGGACCCAGAGGCAAGGGGGAAATGTAAGGTCTATCCACTATTTCCAATGCTGTATTGATAC